AAAGCTAAAATAAACAACTTACTACTACACATACTACTTTTAGCTACCTCAATTACACTAATAACAATTTACTCTTACTATTACATTTTATTGATAATATTAAAGATATAATAATAATAAAGAATAAAAGAGAATAAGTAATTAAAAAGAATTTCAAAAGAAGAATAGATTCGAAAACTTTATATACCTCAAAAGATTTGAGTTGTTGCTAGGCTACAGAATGATTTCCTCTATTTTCCATATACTTTCCTATTACAAAAAAGAAAAACTTATATATACATCTATTTACTATACCATTCAATTAGATAACAATTAATATTACATTATAATTACTAATTTGAATACTAAATAAATAATTATGAAGCTTAAGAGTAAGCTTTTCTAAAGAAAGGAATAATATTACAAATCACACTCAATCACATACAATCGCTCATATATATGTATATGTATATGTACAATTATATATATATAGCTAGTATAGGAACATTCTATAAGCACTTTGCTTTTGATTCTGTAATTATAGATTCTAAGGATAAATTATACCCTACTCTTGCAGTTCTTCTAAGGCAAAGTGTTACAGATCTTATTTATAAGTATAAAATAAATAAGAATTCATTATAAACTATATAAACCTAGGATATTCTTTAAAGAAAACCTAGAAGAAATAAGCAAATTAAATTCAATTTAATTCATTCCTATAATTTGACTTTAGTTCTACTATTATATTATATATTCGATTTATCCCTAAGTTAAATCTGACTAAGCCTTCTACTAAATATTATAATAATATTATTTTATTATAATATAAAATCTTACCTCCAAGAAAATTAATAATCTAGGAAGAATTTTATATTATAATAATAATTCTAAGAAATTATTATAAAAAAGTCTAAGCTTTAAATAAACTCTATTAAATTTAAAATATAATTTTATTTAAAATAAAAATATTAATTTATTAATTTATAAAATAATTTAAATCTGATTCCGAATAAATATAATTTAACTAATTTTTTATATCTTAATTTTTTCAAATTTAAAAAAAATTCAAATTGAATTTAATAAGATTAATAATTAACTAATGATTTTTTACTAATTACTACTCTTATTATTAGTTTGAGAAGGATACGAAAGACGTAGCACCTACGAACTATAGATCCTAATTGTCTATATTATATTCTGTTTAAAGAGCTAGCTATATACAGAAAATAGTAGGTTTTATATAGATCTACTGAAAGAGCTAGTCTCTTTTGCTTTTGCTTAGGGCTTGTAATACAGTAGCTAATGAATTAAAGCTATTTACTATATAATTAATGTTCATATACTCATTTTTTCGAAATTATTTAAATTCAATCTTTAAAATTAATAATATAAATCAATCAATTTAAAAGATAATATATATTTGTTTTAAAATAAATATAATTTAATTAAATCTATTTAATTCTTTTTTTTTAGATTTTTAAACAGATTTAAATTGAATTTAATAAAATTAGTAATTAAATAGTAATTTTTTGGCTGATTATTAGATTTTTATTAAAAATGAGTATTAGGATTAATAATTATTAAAAACATCCTTAGAATAATAGTTAGAATAATAATTACTTTAATTATATATAAAGATAAAAGGAGATATTCCTTCCCTATCCTATGTACATCCTTATCATCTTAACTCTATATATTCTCAAAAGTAATCAGTGAATACTTGAGTATCTCAAATAATATTTGATTTGTTATTAAATAAATAAGTTTAAACTAGATTTAATACTCTACTTTTGGGCTACCTGTTTTTTGGGCCACTTTTCTACATCAAAAACGAAAAAAATCATGATTTTTAATTTCTTTGTTTATTTATATTATTAATTGAAATTTGAAATATAGATTCTCTATATAAATATAAGCTAATTCTAAGATTTTTAGATTTTTAGTAATTTTTTGTAATAAAATATAAATAATTGAAATATTAATTTTCAAATTTATATAAGAACTATATATAAATTCGAAATTTTGATAAAAGTATTAATAACTCTTCAACAAAAATTATCAAAAAATAAACTTTGAAATTTTATAATATTCTTTTATATGATTATATATAGAAATCTAAGCTTTAAAATTTATTATCTTATATTAAGATTTTATTTAAGATTTTATTTAAGATTTTATTTAAGATTTTATTTAAGATTTTATTTAAGATTTTATTTAAGATTTTATTTAAGATTTCAAAATTTATAGGAATTAGAAATCAATGATTTCTTTATAAATAGATAGTCACTCAATTTTTATACATTTTTTTCGAACTCTATTATTAAAAATATCTAAAAACTATTATAAAACTTTATAATTTATTTTTAGTAATTTTTGTTAAAAATTTATTATTGTTTTTAATAAGATTTTAAATTTGTATATGATTTTTATATAAATTAGAAAATCGATATTTCAATTTTCTGAATTTCAATTAAAAGAATTATAAAAAATCTAAAACTTTTAAAACTAATTAATATCTTTATAAAGTTTTATCAAAATAAGTATTTTTGGTATAAAAGGGTGGCCTAAAAGAGGGGTGGCCCAAAAGTAGGGCATTGAACTTATTTATTCAGTCTTTGAGTAATATCCTTTCAATCTGTTTTATAATTGACTACAATTTGTATTATTCTATTCAATTATACTTCTACTTTTCGTTTTGCTTGTTCTGTTTCAATAACCTTATATTTTGCTTGTAATGCTTTCAGTTCTTATTTATTGATTTATTGGTAATAACCTCACATAGTATTATTTCATATATTAATACCTCAAATATCAGAAATATAACTAAAATAATCTCAAATAGCATTTTTGATATTTCAGTCTTTACTTTTTTTGAAAATAATGCTATTTTAGTTTTTCTTTTTTTTAATATTTTCTGAATAGAATTTTCTGATTTTTTTAAATTATTTTAAAAAATCAAGAAATTGAAAAGACTATAAACTTAAAAAAGTTGAATTTCTTTTAAGTAGTTTAAAAAAATATTAAAAATGAAAAAGTTAAAAAGAGTTCAAAAGTTGAAAAATTAGAAAATTGAAAAGCCAAATTTTTTGAAAAGATTGAAAGAATTGAAAGAATTGAAAAAGCTAAAAAGGCTAAAAAAACTAAAAAAACTTTAGATATTATAAAAAAATTCAAAAAATCAAAGAAATAAAAAATAAAAAATATATTAGGATTAGGATTAGAATAACAATATTTATAAAATCAAAATGATCTGAACTAGTATATACTAGACCCCAACTAGTACTTTTGACATTTGGGGTATCAATATATGAAATAATACTATATGAGGTTATTACCGTTGATTTATTATTCATAATTCTCATCTTTCTATATCAAATTTATTAGGGTATCGAGGTAAAATAATAGAATAAGTCTTGAACTCTTAATGCATTTTCCTAGCACTTTGATCAACTTTTGTTATATTTAGACAGTATTTAGTTGAATGGGAATGTTGTGTATTGGAATTGGCATTTTCATTGTAAGGGTAGATTTTTATTCGAGATATTCAATACTGGTATCGTCCTCGCAGAACGATGATGACCTCCAGTCCTCCTCGATGAGTTCTAGAAGAACGTCGTAGGATGCGCGAGTGATGTGAAATTGCTTTTGAGGACCAATTTCATCGTAATCGAGCTGGTCAAGGCGAAAATGGTTCAAAAAACCTCTGATCTCTTCAGGTGTGTTCTCAAAAACTTCCACTTCTTCGATTTCTCCAACTTCAGTGTGCTCCTCCGTTGTGTCGCGCCCTACCAAATTCCTCACGGAATCCCAATCTGTTTGTTCTAGTCGCTCGGGGGAAGTCGAGGAACGAGTGGTATCTTCTTCGTATCTTGTCTCAAATAATGAGGATGGAGGTGAAGAATCCGGTGGAGTAGGTATTTCTTTCTTTCCCTTTTGTAGAGGAAAATTGCATCTGACGCTGCCGTGCAAGGACGGATTATTGACTTTCTTATCGGACATTACAGCAAGTTGTGAAGTGATGAGTTCTTGCGGCTATGCGTGCACGATGGATGTGATAGGACTGAGAATTGAATATCGAGATGCGTTCGCGGATTGTGGGTTCGTAGATTCGTAGATCGTGGGTTCGTGGATTCGTAGATCTCGAGTTGAAATGTTTAAATATTCTCAATATTCTATTGAGCTCAATATCGCGTTCGGTGAACCTATCTATTTGAGCTTATATCTGCTAGCTTCAACATTGGATTCGGTAAATGCATTATTAGGTCCAACATCTTTAACATGTCTACCTAATCAGAAAATCAATCCGAACGCGTCCTAAATATACCAAGACTGGATTTGAATGTTTGACAAAGTGAAAGTGAATAAAACCAAGCAGGCTATGTACATTTAGATAATGGGAATTGGGTACATCGTGTTTTTTATACTGCTCATATTGTCTTCAAACTTCAATGCTTATCTTTCTTCTTTCTCAATCGTGGCTTTAGCTTCCTACAGAGCCCGGCCGCATAGGTTGATACCAAGTATGAAGCCTAGTCCTCTCTCCGGATGAATCGCAATAGTAAATATCCAATTCAACAGAAAATTGCGTTCGATTCAAACTTTTAGTGGTAAGTAGATGTTAAATAATTCCAGTAATTAAGTATGAAAAGCAATGATGGCGTAGGAAAGACAAAGGTAAACGGTAATATTTTGATTCTAATCAATTGTTTATTGAAAATCTATACCAAGACATCTGCTGGACCGTAGTTCCAAGTGGTTATATGGCTTTCAAGAATCAAGTCACAAAACAAAGCACCTTGCTCTTGTCAAATTTCTCGGTTAATTTCTCGGTAACGAGAGTGGACAGTAGCAGGTATCTATATAGTTTCGTCGAACGACCTACAACTCGACTCAAATTTACAACTCGCGACATCATTCATTCAACTCATCTATTCCAACTTGCCTATCCAACCTTTGGAAATTCGACCGAACTAACCAAAGCCATAATTACGATATAATTCAATTCTCCGGAATAATTCACTATGGTATCGACCAAAATTATTTTGTGGACAGGTATGCTGCTCGCTACCGCATTTGCTACAACTACCACGTACGGCTTCCTCAGCAACTCCTACTATAAAATTCTCAGATGTCTCCGTTTCCCTACAATTTTCCTCTTTCCTACAATACTTTACTTCATCATGGAATTCAACTATCAAGAAATAATAGAGCTCATCAACAAGTTCTGGCCTTTCTTTGAAGGTATTTACAAACACTTTGACATCCAGAAAGTTGAGAAATTCATCGAAAAATTACCTTTGCCATTTTGGCTTATCACAGTACTTACGATTTGTGTTTGGGGTGCCCGTAGCATTACAACCTCTTTCTTCAAGGAGTATTTTCAACAAAACGAATACGCTTCCCAGAGTACCTCCGCTGTACTCTATACTGTTAATAGCATCGCCACCAGCCTACAAGTATCTTTCCAAGCATATCTCCAGACAATCTTCGCCGGCCTCCAAGCATGCTTCCAGACAATCTTCGCCGGCCTCCAAGCATGCTTCCAGACAATCTTCGCCGGCCTCCAAGCATGCTTCCAGACAATCTTCGCCGGCCTTCAAGCATGCTTCCAGACAATCTTCGCCGGCCTTCAAGCATACTTCCAGACAATCTCCGCCGGCCTCCAAGCATGCTTCCAGGCAGTCTTCACAGGCAACGCTTCGCACTTTCCAATAATGTGCTTGTGTATATTGTTTTGTATGGGTATTATTCTGTTTATTGCTAGTCTCTTGTTTTCGAAAGGCAATCAACGATGGGCTTTTGTAGCAATAGCTTTTATCCTCGCTTCCCCAGTAAGTAGCTGGTTTTTATTTATTATTATAATTTGGTTTCTGTACTAATTAATTTGATGGATAGGGTTACATATTGTTGGTCCGTTGGACAATCAATTTCTGAAATTTTTATTAAAATTCAAGCCAGTTATCTAAAACCTACTTCACGAGATTCAACTTATATTTCGGTATCAATAAGGTGATCGTGGATTTAGGTAAAAGTAATGTAGTTCGCTTGCTTGATTAAGATGGAGAAAGTCATCGGTGAACGATGGATGGGTGGCGCGAAACGTTTCTCTCAGAGGGATAATGAGATTTAGAGGGATTAGTCACAATAGTGGAGTTATATACTTTAGTGATAAGATATGATTGGGATCAGTACAGTTCTCAAGTACTCAGAACTCTGTATGCTAGCTAGCACTCAAATACTACTTCCTCTTTCTTAGGGTACCATATCATCTCCACCAATCCTTTATGAACTTTTGCAAACTAAATAAACCGGAGATACCATTACATGGTACGGAATAAGGCAAAATTCCCTCAAGGCTCTTCTCCATCGTCTTCTACATCCTCATTCTGAACATTGTTGGATTGATACTACTTTCCAGCACCGGCTTTAAAGCAACCATTTCCATGCAGTTCGACCCTAACAGCATCGTCTCTATACTACTTTACCATAGGCCGAACATTATATCGCTGCTTACTAGCCACTCATCGCCTATGTGCAAAACTTGAGAAAGCGCACAAATTCATGTTTTTGCTTGCGATGTGAGTTGTGAAGAACAAGTAAAGGAGATGCTAATCCATGCTTCTGAAGAACTACCTCCAATATGCCGTGTTTTCAATACTGCGATGGTGCTTAATGTGAGTATATCCTACTGTATCCCTTACTGATTCCTTCCCCCCTAATACCTCTATAACATAGTACTTTCGAGGTTATTTCACGTGAGAACTTCACAGCAATGATTAAACCAAAAGTTCATGGGGCATGGGACATCTATAATGGTCTCTTGAAAAAGAAACTAGACTTCTTCGTCTCATTGTCTTCAGGCGGGATGCTGGGAAATCGACAACAATCAGCATATTCATCGACTTGAACATTTCTCAGTGCATTTACTTGATATCACCGCTCCTTAGACCTCTCAGCTTCATGCATAACTCTTGGATCACTACGTGGAGTTAAATTTGTAGCTGACAGTCGTCAATTTCGGGAAGCCATCAAAACAACGCTACAAAGTGAGCTTAACGCAACGCAACTGCTGTGGCGATCCCTGTTCGTCAAAAACTAGAGAATTCGAGTCAGAAAGAGAAGATTCACGAGGTAATTCAGGATGCTCTCGCAATTCAGCTTTGGGGTATTCTCTCTTTGAGCCGAGACGATGTCGATAACGATGAGCCTTTGACTTTACATGGTATAGATTCGCTAAATGCAGTGGAACTGCATGATCTCAAGAGAAGAGATGGGTGAGATGAGATGGCAATGAAGTCGGATGAAACTTTGAGGGTGCGGTGAGCTTTGCAGAGATGAGGGGATAAATAATAATAATTGGACCGGGATGTATGCCATTGGAAATTGCTTGTCAAATGTGGTCATCATCGTCTGGTGAAGACAACCTCAATTGCCAATTTTCTGGAGAAATGCACGATTGTATTTACGGCACTTTTAAGTGTATGATGAAGAACTAACTTTTTTATAATTCCATCGAAAGATTACGTGCTCCTTGGCGGTACTCTATCTACAGATCATTTTCCCGATTGATTATTTGGGACAAAAATATTATTAACTGCATTTAGATGTTCAAGTAGGTTCTGATTATATCTCTACCTTGCCGTCTATGTTGGAAGTAGTATAGCCTAGATCTTGATAACAATCTTACCCTGGTGCTTAGTTCCATCATAGAGTGCGTCAAATGCAGCCTGGGAATCTTTGAATGAAAACACGCCTGGATCTACAATCCCTTTCAAACTGATTTTCTTCGCTTCCAAGAAGGCGCAAAGGTCTTGGTGGTCTTTCTTGTCACCAACCCCTACTCCCCTAAAGAGATTGATTAGCAATTGGGATGAATAAATCCGAATTTTCGATCAACGTACTTTATGAGCAAGGACTTTTGCAGAGTTGGAGAGAACAGATCTGGGATCTGATCCGTTTTGAAACCGCCTAAGAATCCAACCAAAGAAAACACACCCCTTCTTGCGAGAGCAGTGAGACTCTGAGTAGCTTGCGTTGGTCCCACATTATCAAGCACAATGTCAACTCCGCGGCCGTTCGTGAGCTTGATAGCCTCTTCTTCCCACTTGGGATACGTGCGATAGTTGATTGTTTCGACTTCGCCCGCTTTTCCGGCTGCTTTTGCGATGTCGAGTTTCTTGTCCGAGGAAGAGGTGATGATGGGTTTTATACCTGCCCCTAAGCATATTAACAATGCGAAAGAGCTCACCCCACCCGTGCCTGTTGATTTCTCGTTAATGCTGATGACTCAGGATAGAATTGAATCTTACCTTGAAGAAGAGCGGCTCCTTTATTTCTCGGCATATCTAGAGCAGTCCATGCGGTCACACCGGCGCAAGTGATGGTTGAAGCCTGGATAAGATACTAATTAAGCAATATTCAAATGTACTCACAGAGACAATACCTCAACTCACCTCCTCCCATGAAAGATGCTTTGGAAGGTGATACAACACGTCCTGGTGGAACACGGCGTATTCTCGCAAAACACCATCTATATCACCTCCTAAAACTGCTGTCTCATCTCTTGAACCGTCGAAATTATAGTTGTCAAAGATTGGAGCAACTGGGTCTCCAACTTTGAAGTCATGGACCTCAGAATCAACATTCATGACTTCTGCTGCGCAATCACTGGCGGGGACCCCGTGATCTATGACCTCAACTGGGTACTTCCCATGCATCATTGCTACATCTCTGTAGTTCAAAGATACTGCATGAATCTTGATGAGGACTTCGTTTGGACCAAGTGTTGCTGGAGTCTCTTCGGTGGTTTGCTCGAGTGTGGTGGGCGTGGTGTCAACCGTGCGACGGAAGGCCTTGTAAGTTTTCGGGAGGGCTATCATGGTGTAAATTATTGATGAGAGGCTACAGCCCTTCGAAGAAGATGTTGTATGCACATATCAAAATCGGCGAGGTGCCTTCTTTATATACCTTGCAAGTCTAAGAAGAGACTTTACATCATGGCGAGAGATAGCGGTGGAAGAGTGTTGCTCTTCGTACGAGAAATCTTGACATGAGTAATCATTCTGTTCGTCCTAATTATCAATGTCTAAGATACAAGTTTTTCGTGGTCAATTAGTGTTGATACTATGGGAGTCCCGTCCGCCGCTGTGACGGAACTTCCAGAATTCTCCACTTTAAAAATAACGAAGTAACAGACGACTCCCCTCAACTTTGCAAAACTTCGATCTGTCAAAGTATGCCTTTTGTTAACCAAAAGAATAAAATGATTTACCATCGAATAAATTATACCATCCAATGAATCACTTCAAAATCATATTAAACTGATATTTTATTGACATTTGAGTTTTCCCATGTATATTATGGGTAGGTGAATGACATTGAATCATTTGCCTACTATAGCAGATATCATATATCCGATTCATTCTAAGCAGCTTCATTATGGTTATTATTACTATTTTTCTTTAATCACTAATATGTAAGACTAAGAGTAACAGTCATCAGTGAGTGGAGAGGAACTGCCGGATTAAATACAATGTTCAAAACTGATGATGTTGTACTTGAATTCACAAGACTGAGCTATACTCGTATGCTGGCTTGTAATGTTTGAAGCGAGATAAGTCAATGGAGTTGTAGAGTTGTGGTGTATAGCGAGTGGAGGTTGTGGTTACCATTGATAGAATCCGCAGGTATCTCGATAGCTAGGAGTAAAATGAACATTTAGTCCATTTGGGTTTTTGAATCAAAATAAGCCCTACCTGATACATAGACGAAGATAATTTGGCATTAGGGACTGTTTTGTTTATAAATATATTCAAAGCTCTGAGTCCGGAATACCTAATGTCATTATAAAAGGTGGGAACACAACACTCATGAGATTGTTTGAGAATATCGCCGGCTATGATACAAAATGAACATGGCTGTACATCGTCTTCTAAATCACACCTCCGCCAGACATGAATCTATGATCAAGACCTATGCTATCGAGGAAGACCTGAAAAGAACTAGTGACATACTCTTCGAAAGATCGCGGTGGAATATATGGGTGAGACGAGGACCTCTTTGCACTATATAAGTAGAATTCAATTTTTTAATTTTTTTAATGACTTAGGAACACACGTTGGACTCATGAATTCTGCCCGAAATATTTATTTGATAGAATGTTCCCAACTTCAATTCCAGCTTCGCTAATTTCGCTAATGGTGATCACCCCTAAATCCCAAATAATGTTATTATATTAAAGCCACTTGACTTGAAATACAGTGATAGTCGAAATTCTGATATTCAAGAGTAATAATTCTCATAATGCTAGACTATATAAGTATTTTCGATAGTGCAGACCGTTGAGAATCATGCTAGAAACGAAGGTGTGAGAACCGCATTACAATTGGTAGTAAAGCTGAAATTCAGAAAAAGGGTTTGGATTGAGGACTTGAATGGTGGGCCTGAAACATATTGAATTGAGCAATGAATCGGATAGAAAATCTTCCGATAAAAGATACTGAATAACAATTGGGTATTTGCTTTGAAAAATCACATGTGAACCTGCCGCCTATTGATTTAAACACATCGAATTCCAAAGTATCACTTCTCTTCAAAATTATTGCGCACCCAAAGTTTGTAGTGCTGCCCTTAGCTCCTTTACTGCGGTTTCAGCATCCTCAAAATTCAAGGCTGAAATTGCCCATCTTGCATGTTTTTGTGCTTTAGCAATTGCTTCATCGTCCGTATTTAATTGGCCACGGGCTTGTGTGACTGGTGGGACTATTGGTGCTGTAAAATTATTTGATGGGGGAGGTCCAGGTTGATAGGTCTGGTTGGTAGGTGGTGGTACATGTACATTTCCATGGTCTGGTGGTGGAGGTTGACGGTAAAAGTCTTGAGGTGCAGTAACTGACGATTGTTCCCCGGGTAAAGTTGGGGGCGGAAATGATTGGAAATCTGGAGATGGTTTCATTCCGGGAGAAGTTCCGGGAGAAATTCCGGGTGCTGCAAGAGAAGATGTATCCGGTAGACAAAGATCAAATGTGGTATCTGGACCGGGAGCTGTTGGTAAAGTTGCATCTCGAGGTTCAGATGTAAAAGTTGGAACTTCTGGAAAGTATCCTCCTCCTATAGATCCATTCCTATCTTTTGGGGATGGCTCGAGAGGGGATACATTATCGTCTTGGACTGCATTATATGGAAAACCATCGCGGGGATATGGTTCGAATGGAGCCGATTTATTGTTTGGAGATCCATGAGCAGAAACTTGTTCGGAGGGATGTAAAGACCGATCTAATGATGATTGTCTTGCTAACTTTGCTTCCAATTGATCTTGCTCGTCTGTGGCATCCTCCACAGAAGCTTGCTGTGCTTTCTGTTCCCCCAACAATTGTACCTCTGGATCATTTGGATCTAACGGTGGTAATTTATCCTTGGAAGTTGGTTGTGGTTTGGGATTAGATTCATTAGGATCTTTTCCTTCTTTCAATGCTTTTACGATACGAACTGCATTCCATTTTGCATACTTGATCTTGGCTTGAGTTTCGGCATCCGGTGGTGACCAGATGTTCAATAGTTCCAGGAAGGTTGCTGCGGCTTGAAAAGTTTCGGCAGTTTGTCTTGAGATCATCAGTCAATGTGTAGGGAGAATATGACTTTCAGGATCGTACTTTGTGACCTTATTTGCTTCGACAGCTCGATCTGCCCTTGAGAATATTTCCATGCCAAATTGTTCGCAATATGCCTGACCTGCAGTATCATCCATGATTGCATCGTTGTTTGGGTTCTCGGATTTTATCTGCCATGATTTAACTAAAGTCCAATTCGCAGACATAGGATTATCATACCCTCTCAAGTTTTTCCATCAAAGTAGTAGTATATTGTAGTGTCTCTGCATCTCCAGTATGTAGTCCTTTCGAAAGAATCTGGTTGACGATCCAGTATTCACCTGCAGGAATGGTAATGTTAAAATTTGGGTTGTGCGATAAGACTTTGATACGTACACCAGTATGATATAACCGGCTTCGCATTTTCGAGCTGTGCCGCCTTGATAATAAATCGAGTTAAGTCCGCGGTCTTCAACTTTGGGGGGATTTGTGACGCCATTATTGACTATGGTTGTTGAGTTGAAGAAAGATGGCTCGGTGAGTACAAGTAGGGTGGGATATGATTAGAGACGGATGAGAAAGCTTGCGTTGCATATATGAATTGCAGCTGAGTTGAGACCGACAGCGAGGTTGAGTATGAGAATGTTTGTTGATTCGTTGAAGGCTCTGCCTAGGCCTTTCTTTGTGAACGATATGGTGAGAATGCAATGCGATGTGATGCGATGCTCGAACAGTAAATCCAGCCTTACAACTGAATACGATAACCCCACCCCTCACTAATTGAATTCTGCCATTTCACCGCTCAATCAACACTAAAGTAGCAGTACGGACGGAGGCTAGTAGGTATTTTACCCCGGATTTCATTTAATAATGATACCTCATCCAAATTCATCCACCTCGTAATACACATCTTGCGACTGTGGCCTTTTCGCATACATAAATACAACACCTTCACACACTGCCACTCTGTTTTCCTTCTTACATGTATTGATAAAATTCAATAGCTCCTACAGCTACAGGTAGTAATTACAATTTACAATTATTTAAAATGGTTAATACTGGAGTCATTTCAACTGCAGCTGCGGCTTTGTTGTGTGCTTTGCCCGCAGTTCATGCTGGATTGTACCCAAAGAGTTCAGCTGTTTTGTCAATTAATGGAAAGGATTATGATCGTATGATTGCTCAATCAAACCATACTTCCGTAAGTATTTCCCTCATCCTCAATCATTCTATTGGCACATCAGTCTTTAACCTTCGATCATACAGATCGTCGAATTTTATGCTCCATGGTGTGGACATTGCAAGAACCTTCAACCAGCGTACGAAAAAGCCGCCAAGAGTCTCGCTGGTCTCGCGAAAGTAGCAGCAGTCAACTGCGATGAAGAATCGAATAAAGCTTTCTGCGGAGGATTCGGTGTTCAAGGGTTCCCTACTCTCAAGATTATTAAACCTGGAAGCAAACCCGGAAAGCCAATCGTTGAAGATTACAATGGACCACGAACTGCGAAAGGAATTGTCGATGCAGTAGTCGATAAAATTCCAAACCTTGTAAAGAGAGTTGCAGATAAAGATTTGGAGAGTTTTTTGGCCGATGCGAATGACACTGCGAAGGCAATTCTGTTTACCGACAAAGGAAAGACAAGCGCAACATTGAAAGCCATTGCCATTGATTTCAAGGGCAGTATCAAGGTGGCACAGATCAGAAACACAGAGAAAGCTTCCATTGAGTTATTTGGCATCACTGAGTTTCCTACACTTATTTTGTTACCTGGTGGAGAAGCAGCTGAAGGCATTGTGTATGATGGGGAATTGAAGAAGGATGGCATGGTCAAATTTCTTACACAAGCTGCCGAACCTAATCCAGATCCACCAGCAGCAAAGGCTAAATCTTCCAAATCCAAAACAAACAAAAAGTCCTCTGCAAAAGCAAAGGAATCTTTCGAAGCAGCATCGGAATCTCACGCCAAATCCGAAAAGCCTGTCACTCAAACAGATGAAACATTAGAAAATCAACCCACTGAATCACCATCACCAGAAGTCGAAACAGAAAACCCCATTGTACTTCCACCAGCGCCTGCAATTCCTATTCTTACTTCTGAAACCGACCTCAAGAAGAATTGTCTTGGTCCTAAAACCGGCACATGTATTCTTGCACTTCTCCCAGATACCTCGAACGAGATTACAGGTTTAGCTTCTACATCATTAGCCGAGGTTTCCCATAAACATCATTTACATCAACGAAAGTTATTCCCATTCTATATCCTTCAAGTCGAAAATCCTGGGTTCTCTCAAGTCAAAGAGGCTTTAGGATTAAAA